ATTTTTGGGCGTAGTAGATGCTGTGTAGTTTGATGTATGTTTTGTATGCTGTAAACAAACCAAATATTGAAGAAATAGTTGTACTTCAAAATTTCATGTTTAATTTAATGTGCTACTTGCAGTTTAATTGTGAAGTTTATTAGCAACATTTCCTGATTAAATTTGGTTTCAAAGTAAATCCGACAATTTTTTTTTATTTTTTTTATGTGTGCTGGTGCAGGCTGAGGTTTATTTCAAGTTTTTTTTTTTGCGGGCTAATTAAAGTTTTGGTATTAGTAGCTCATGTGTATATATAACAAATCTGAGTACAACTTCATCTCTGGACTGTAAACAACACATTCTTGGCCATGTGAGATATAAAGATCTCAATAAAGTGTAAATGAATCTACTAAAATCTTCAATCAAGCATATCACATTTTACTTGATGTTGATAGTTAATGTGATTCTCTACACCTAAAATCACCAAAACACCAGCTTATTCAAACCCAATGAGCCTTCAAAAATAAAAGAAAGTGAAGAGAAAAGATCCTGCCACATTTGAAACGCTTGCTTTGATAATGTTGTTACTTAATGCAATGACATTAAGACATTTTTAAGTGTGACTAATTAGTCTAAAAGTGTCCAGGTACTTTATATGGGCTTCTGTTCTGTATATGAAATGTTTTGCAGCAGTTGAAGTGGGTCACTTATAAATCTGCCAGTAGTTACATAACTAGACTGCATAATCAACTATTTCAACATCTATTGTTGAAACAGTTTGCTCGCTAGTCTCTGTGTATTTAATTTTTGAATCCGTATTTAAACAAAGGAGCAGTTAGCATGCTAAGTTATCAGTTATTATGCCAATGCGTCCTATCATCTGCTGACCCTAAATGTTGCATATAAACTAAACATGATGTCACATTCGGGCTCATTTTCAAAATGTGCTATAAACATTGACAAAAGCTCTGAGCATCTGCTCTTAGAAATCGCATGTTTACTGGAAGTGTTAGTCGACAGCTGTGAAAGACACCATTTAGCATTTAGTTTGTGTATTTAGAGGTCAGCCAGTCCATGTGTGGATGCTATGTCTGAGATACAACAGCTGTCATAAACTGAACCTGTGAACGAGTGTAAAATCGGACCATAACCCTGGAACTAACACTTCTCAATACGTTACGCTGAACTATGCATATATCTGTACGAAGAGGCATTGTGCGTTAGCGGCATGCTTTCATTTTGGCGTGACAGTGTAGAGAATGGAGAATGCCTTTTCAATTATAATTCCGTTAATTGTTTACAGTGCAATTTGAGTTTAAATGTAAGTAGAATTCACATCAAGTTCAGAGAAATTGACATGACTTCAATTTTTAACTAGAACAGCAAAGTTTACCATGATTATTAAAAAGCCTTGAAATTTGAAGGCTTACAGGCCATAGATATTACCTTGTATAATCAGAATTGCTATTCAGTAAATTCTTGTCATTCCAATTGACCCTTCACCGGGAATTTGATTGACAGGCGATCTGACCAATCATAACGCAGAATCTGTCATTTTGTCAGACAAAAAAACAAAACAGACAGAAAGTAGATTAACGTTGGTGAACGTGAACTTGAAAAATGGTGTGTATTTGACGTCTTTCGACGGTTGAAACAGAATGTAGCAACAGTAACTAAGGGGGGCGGGTCTTTGCAAAGGGTCAATTCAAATTCCATTTTTTTTTCACATTTTCAAATCCCATTCCATTCAATTTCCAGGACAGTTTAAATTCACACTCATGAATTCTGCACAACCCTAGATGCTTCAACAGGAAAAAAAAATGCACAATTCTAATGGCTTGTAGCTCAACTAGTGCACATGCTTCAGAACGTTGCGTCAAGGTGCTTATGCAGGTGATGTGGGTTTGAATTTGGCTTGTGGCATTTCCCGATCACATTTTCTGCTGTGTTGCGAAACTCATGAGAGTTTTGTACTGCACGAGGGTAACCATTTAGAAAGAAAAATATTTATTTTACTCTGGTTTTTTTTTTTGTTGTTTTTTTTTTGTGGTGAACTTCCCAAAACATTATCTTTCCATGGAGTAAAAATGGATGGTCATCATTATGTATTAAATGGTTATATGGGTCATACAGTGTTACCGTGCGAAAATAGATTCTAGCGAGGCAAGACGCACATGTTTTATTCTCACTCTTCCCAGTCAATATCGTGTATAACGTGGGAAGAGGTTAGCGCAACAAAAATTCCTCTAAAGTGTCCCATATGTTTTTCCAGAGCCAATAAATGGGAGGTGGTTTGAACCTGACCTGTTTTCCTCAATGGAATCTCTCTTATGGACAGAGTTGGATCTGCTACACGAGGATAAATATTACTTATCTTCTGTCCAACATTTTACCTTATTTTATTTTAGGTTTGGACCTTTTGCCAATTTTATTTATATGCCGTGCAATTTAAATGCATTTCAACTCCCTTTCAAGTGTTTTATCTCTCTTTGGACAGCATTGAATTATATTCTGTGATACACAAGGGTGCTGTGTGCAAGTATCTCTTTGAAATCAGATTCAAAGTCCTCAAAGTTTAGCTAGTCTTATGTAATTCTGCCCTGTCCTCTTCTGTATCTTTTAGACCTTTTTTTTTTTTTTTGCATTTTCTGTGCAGATTTGGAGAGGAATGTCAGCAGAATTCAGTGAAGTGGATTTATAGAATGGATGGATTTTTGTGCAATGGATTTATACAACAATTCACCCAAAAAATGTCATAATTTTCTCACCATCATATCATTCCAAACCTGTATGAACACAAAAGATATTTTAAAAATTGTCCTTACAAGGAACTTCAGTATGTTGTTTTCAGTGTTATTTCTTTTCAGTTCAGCAGAAGAAAGTCATTTTTGGAGGGTGAACATTTTAATTTTTTTGTGAACTATCCATGTTAAGACAGCTGAGAATATTACATTACACTCCGTTTATTTATTTATTTATTTCATTTTCTGTGCTGATTTTGAGAGGAAAGTCTGGAGAATTCAATGGAGTGGATTTATAGAATGTAAAATGTGTTAAAGGGACAATTCACCTCAAAATGTCGTCATGAACTCACCCTCATATGAGCGCAAAATATATTTTTTAAAAAGTCAGAAGAAAGTCATGCAATTTTGGAATGACGTGGATGATTTTTTTTTTTTGGTGAAGACCGTTGATATGGGTAGCTATATATAGTATAACCAGTTTTCCCATTGTACGCACTAAACAAACACACAGAGGACAGGGGATATGTAGTAGATTGTGAATGACAGGCATTCAGTCCTCTGGAGTTTCCGTGTGGGCCCAGCCGTGAATTCAACACTTTAGTTCTGAGGTTTGATTTGTGGTTCCAGAGGATTTACTCCGGCAGGAATTTGATATCATCATATAACCAAACTTCCCAAGGTTAGAGCGGTCATTTCACCCGCTCTATGTGAACGCTGCGAGTGCATTTCCTGCCATCTTTCACCCCAGTTATTTTTTTGTGGTTGGTAGTAAAAATGTACCCCGTGTAGGGAAAGACTTGAACATCTGACAGGAATAAAAGCCCAGATGCACAAGCTCCAGTGATCAATAGCCGAAAAGGACGTGACCTTTATATCTCCCATCCTGATTAATGCATGCAAAACCGCAATGTATTCAACAGTGTTTTAATCACGTATACATGATTTAGAACTTCCAGAGTTGTTGTTTTTTGTTTGGCAACAGCTGTGTTATCAGATATTACAAATGGATAGTCAAATCTGTAAACCGTAAATCAGTTGCATCGTGGAATTTTACAGTCTGGATTGAATGCCACGAATGTTTGTTATAGCAAGCCAATGCTGATGTTAGTCTCGATCCAGACAGTTCTGCGTGCCAAAGAGCAGATCCGTACTCCAATAAAACCCTGGTGCTATTGTGCGTGATAGCATTTTAAGCGTCCTGATGATTAGCGACTGGAACACTTGAATGCAGCCTGCTCTGAGCATGTCGGAGCAGGACAGGCAGAAAAAACAAACGCACCCATCCAAAAACTTCTGTCTGGAAAAATGCGCAGGGATCAAAATGAGATGTGTCAAAGCTCAGGGTCGCGTTTCGGATGGATAACGCTGCACCTGCAAGCCAATTTCGAGAGTTCCCTTTGAGGTCGAGGGGAAAGAGTGTGGACGAAAGCATAGATTTTACTGCACAGACCTTCATCAAGCTTGCAAACTAAGCCCAATTGAATCCCAGGTTATGGGAGTTGAAAGGCTCAGGTGAATAGAAGCTTAACCTGCCATGCCTTTGCTACCCCAGAATGCACCAGATCCCATTGACGAGTATGATTAGGTAATTGCTACAGGTCAGCTGCCAAACATCAGCCTTTCTAAATGTATGAAACAAGAGGTAACAATCATAGTGTTCAATAAGAATCTGTCCTAGTGAATATTTGCAATGCTAATGGGATGCAAAAGATTTTGTCACAAGAGTAAATGCGGATTAATCCAAAGGGAGTTCCTGAATACCAACAGATTCTCTTTGGAAACTTTTCTAACCTGGTTTACATTGAACTACCCACAAATACCTCTATATCTGGCCCTACAGAGATCCGCTTTGCAAAGGTATGGGTTAAAAAAAAAGACTTTGTCAAGCCTGTTGAACTCAAATGGACTGTAAGTGATGTATGGTGATCTGAAGGTCTAGGACAGGAATCGAAGGTTCTCCTAGGGGACTTTGTTGTGGTCTAATGTAAAAAACACCACACAGATTTCCTTTTCCTATGTAATGCATCTGATAAAACAATACAAGATCAAGATTTCCTATCAAGAGACAAATACAGATGTCTTAGTAATCTTTGAGATGATACAACCTCCCCAAGTGAGGAAAACTTCAGCATCTTGGTTCAGTTAATGTAGCAACCTGTTTATCATGATCTATGCGCTCTGGCACAGTGACGCTTCCTGAATCTGTGGCGCTCTGCAGTGTTTAACACCCCAGCTGTAAGTAGCAGCTTACTCTAACAAAAGAAGATGTGTCCTTACCAAGTGGCCAGCTAAGCCAGACTTATCAAGGTGGCGTTGTGTTGGGTTGACCTCAGGCAGCAGGAGGGGAGGGCAAATCCCTCATGCAGGCGCTAGTCCATCCACACCGTATATCCATGTAATCAGTCAACAAGAGGGCCTTCTGTGGGTTGGTTTGTCCGAATATTAAGTACTCTACCAGTGTCCTAGAGGTTCCTTCTCATGATGACTTCTCCTCCAGACTTTTCCGATATATGTTTAAATTAACATTTCTTCCGGCCACTCTGGAGGTGGGCTTGGAATTTCCTTATCCTTTGACATAGCTGGTTACGCGAGTCCGGTTCAGTCAATCTGGGTTCAGGTGATTCCTGTCCGTTTTTAGGATTCCAGATCTGAAACACACAATCCAAATTGGCAGAAGGAACTTGGTACGACAAAGCCAGCAGCATAAATTAGCATTATTTGATTCTTAATGTGGAAGCAGGTGGATGTGCAAAAACTAGCATTTTTAGGGATCTCCCATTTTCATAAAGTATTGAATCCAATTGAAATGAACAATTTTACCCAATTCCTATTAATGTTTGGTATATTGTTGGCTTGGTAACATGCAAACTCTAACAAAATCAGTTGCGAGTCAGGTCTCCCATGCAGAGCGCTATTTCTAGAGTTAGTTCCAATGCAGTGTTTAAAATCAATCACTTATGAGGTTCCTCTCGGTTAAGATGCATATGTAGACCGTGTAGCAACTCACTAAGGTTTTGCAACAGAGCTGTTTAGTGAAGCCAGCAAATTTTAGTAAACCTTTAAGGCTCTTAATTTGTTCCAGATCTTCACCGTCATGTAGGCTTTAGACCAGTGTAGAGCATAACCAAATTTAAGACTAAATGTGTCTTGGCGTTTTAGTCTAAAATTAATTTTCAGATTGTTTCCACATTTAAGCCGTAACTCTATACTGTCTTACTGTCAATCCAAATTAAATATACAGTGAGGTTTGTCTCAAAATTGTAAGGTACTTAAAACCAACTAAGCTTATTCCTTCAGCGCTTCCAGACTTACCATGTGCCATGTGAAGCTTGCAGGCTGTCCAGATCCTGGTTTTGTTGTCTTCTCATGCGAAGTCCTTCGTGCGTAAGATCCCTGCCTGTGTGTAAAGCGATGTGTGAGAGCAGGAGTTTGCGTGTGTATGTTTGTAGGGGTGTGCGCATGGAGAACTCCCCTTGGTCCCTGTCAGTCTTTCTCCTCCCTGTGTGTGAGACTCCTCCTCTACCAGCTCACTCATCACTGGATGGGTCGGATTACCGTAGCCTCTAATCGCTCACACAGTCTTGGATCTCCCCCTCTCTCACTGGACGGGGCCTGAGGATGCTCAAAACCAGGGCACAATGAACAGTGCTTTCTGTTTTCGGTTTAAGAGATGAAGTCGGCGACACTGACTCGTCGTCTCCACAGTATGCGCCTGTATGCATGTTTCATACGGATTACATAATCTGAGAATATTTGTTTTCTATTTGAATTGGTTCATTTAAAAAGTTTCACTCTCTCTAGATATATTTTTCATGTCTGTAATAAGGCAAGCATACACAGAGTTTCAAAGTGAGGCGCTCAAGTTCACAGACCAGAGACGGCAGAAATCGCATCCTGTTTGCTTTCATTATTTTACAAAAGCGCAACGTTTTGTTGTTATTCTTAGTGCACACGAATAAACGAAGAGTCTTTACAGATACAAAAGATGTATTACTCTCATCTGTATGACCAAAAATTTAGTATTTTAAGAGCCAATGATCGCACCGGCGCCTCCATCTGTAGCCCAAGCGCGCTGCTATTCAGCTTCCACACTCCGCACAAACATGTGAACTGCGCACTTTTTTCTAGGCTAACATTAGATTGAGCTGCCATGTAAAGTTGCTACTACATACATATTTCAGGTGATAAGACATATTTGAGGTCGATGAATGTTAGGTGAGCATATGGATGTCCTGCCCGATGTACTGTATTACCACAAAGACCAGCCATTAACGATTTGTCCGTCACGGACTGCGTGATTTCGCCACTTCATGTGGAATTTTTTTTCCTCTGCGACTAATAAAATTTTGGTAATATGCATATAAACAGCCTTTTAATTAGCAGAGTAGAATAATCATGGCTGATAGTAAGACATGCAAACATAAAGGAAAACCAAACTGGACGTGAGAACAGCTATATATTAAGGATATAATAAAAAATTTGGAGTTGGGATAACCTCCAAACCAAAGCCGAGACCTTTTTAAAAGCTCATTATGGTCAAATGTTTCTAACATGTTTATATTCCGAGGTAGATTGCTGGCAACAGCCATTTTAGGATAGTTCAGATTTGGTTTTAGTGACTTAGGAGTCCTCTTCACTACTCCTAACGTTTCACAGATTTAGGAGCTAATTTTAGCGCTAAAACGCTTTGTGAAATACTCTTAGAACACATATTTAGGAGTCCTTATTATCATTATTTTTAAGATTTTCTCCTAAATCGGCGAGTTATGAGCTACTTTTAGCCTTAAGATGTTTTGTGAATACGGGCCCAGATATTTTACCATTAGTGCAAATAGAATATTTCTTCTGTTGACACTCAGTTGCATCTATCACTGTTTGGCACTTAGTCACAAAAGGCTATTCGTACTTGGTGCAAATGGAATCTAAATAGCATCTACCTTTTTAAATACTCACTGTAAATAGCTGAGGTCTAAATTTTGTCATCATAGCAGTTTATTTCTGTTAGTTAAGATGGATTGCTTTAGCAAAGCAAGCAAGCAAACCCCAGACCACCTGGTTGTTGAATCAGCAGAGTTTGTAGATTCTATTATATATGTGACCCTGGACCACAAAACCAGTCTTAAGTCGCTGGGTATATTTATATTTGTAGCAATAGCCAAAAAATCATTGTATGGGTCAAAATTATCGATTTTTCTTTTATGCCAAAAATCATTAGGATATTAAGTAAAGATCATGTTCCATGAAGATATTGTGTAAATTTCTTACCGTAAATATATCAAAACAGTTTTGATTAGTAATATGCATTGCAAAGGACTTGATTTGGACAACTTTAAAGGCAATTTTCTCAATATTTTGATTTTTTTGCACCCTCAGATTCCAGATTTTCAAATAGTTGTATCTCAGCCAAATATTGTCCTATCCTAACAAACCAGAACAAGCTTTCACTGGAAAGCTTATTTATTCAACTTTCGGATGATGTATAAATCTCAATTTCGAAAAATTGACACTTAAGGTTTTGTGGTCCAGGGTCACATATTATAAAGTAATAAATAAACTCAGTGTGATTATTTTCCATTGAAGAGACCAATGAAAATGTGATATATCATCCATTATTGATATGTATTATTTGCATATTTCATGTAACTGATGCAGACATGCAAATTCAGATGCGAGTCTACATGCATGTTATATCATCTTGTGACTAAATTTCTTATATTCAGTGCCTCAAGAAATGGAGACCGAATTGCACTTCCCAGGTCAGTGGACGCGCAAATCTTGTCGTTTTGAGTGTTTAGCTTCCCCTATAGCTCATAACTGAATTAAACATGTTGCACGACGCTAAAGGATTACCGCGGTATGTAGTTTGGCATGCGTTTGCAAATGACTTCATATCTAAAATAAACAACTAAATAAAATCAATAGGCCTGCATGTAATCTCACTTGCTATTTTTGCTTGTGTGCCATCGGTTACCTTTCTGCGTGTTAATGCAGGTATGCATACCTTGAGTTTTTCTCACCCATCACCTTTGACTTGATAACTGTGGGAGTATTCAGGCTTTTCCTTTATATTTCATATTTCTATAAAGCTGCATTGAAATGTATTGTGGTTCATGCTCTAGAAAATAAACTGAATTGAGATCTGAGATGTTTTCAAGTGACTTGTTTTGCAGTTGTGAAAAGCAGCATGTTTTCCATGTTCTCCTTGGACTTGCTTTGGAGAAATGTGTGCCATCACATTTAAAAAAACATCAAGTCCTTCCCAAGCGAAATACCTTGAAACTTATGGCCGTTTACCAACAGTCTGCCAGGAAGGGTGAACATGAGTCTCTGCAGTGATCCGTTAGTGACTCACTGAAACACATCGGCTCTGAGCATAGAGAGTGTTGGAGTCAGTTAATGCAAAGCAGATGGAAGACCTTCACTAAAATAAATGTCTGGCCGTATGGCAGCATGGCACACATTCACTCTGCAACCTGTCCAAAGACTCGAGTTATCTGACTCTCGTAACATTCCCACTGCGTGATTCAGCACCTGTGTGTCTTGGAGAAAGGACGGGGTGCTAAACGGTGAAGCATGTCTTTGCTGAGAGATTTAAGAGGATGGAATGATAGTTTATTTAACTTGTTTGATGTTAGAATATTTTCTTCTTTCCAAGTTCAACATGCAGAGAAAGCCATGAATCATTTGTAGAGTGCTACAACTGTGAAATTGACTCAGCATTATCTTATCTTTCAAAATAGGCTTTAGTCTAGTAATCGTTTCAGTGTCTCCATTGTTGCAGAAATAACACGCCTCACCTTTAACTGGAAATGTCAGCGTGTTGATGTCTGTGATTTACAGAATACTAGATATTGCCAGTGTATTTAGGTGTCATAACTGTCATTTATTTGTGACGGTTGTATACTGAATCAATGTACACACTGGAACATTTTGGGAGCGACAACTGCATTTAAATGTGTGAGTGAGTAAATTATCATACTGTGTGTTTATGGAATACAGCGATCACAACATTTTGGCATTTTGTGGATGTAAACATAAAGCATGAATGTTTAACCTAATTGTTTTAGCTGTTTTTGACCAAAATGACGTTAGCAACAGTAAACATATTATCAGCCAATTATATAGCGCTGCATAGAGGACGTGTTTTTGTAGGCCGACCTGGAAATTTTGTGTCATCCATAGGATTTTTCCATTGGATTTTGGATTATTGCAGAAAACAAGATCTGTGACTAACAGAAGTTTGATTCTTACACATTTTGTTCATCATGATAATCTTAACAACATTCATAAATTTTAAAGCCTTCGAGACAAATGAAACCTTTAAAAAAGCAGCAAGAGGGTTTTAATGGTGTATTTTATGTTGTAGAATAAAACGCGACCTGGAAATTTTGTGTCATCCATAGGATTTTTCCATTGGATTTTGGATTATTGCAGAAAACAAGATCTGTGACTAACAGAAGTTTGATTCTTACACATTTTGTTCATCATGATAATCTTAACAACATTCATACATTTTAAAGCCTTCGAGACAAATGAAACCTTTAAAAAAGCAGCAAGAGGGTTTTACTGGTGTATTTTATGT